AGAGAGAGAGAGGGGGGGGGGAGAGGGAGGGGGAGAGAGAGACGCGACTCGTGCGCGAATTAACGACGAATCGACAACGCGACAGGGAAGCGCGAATTTTTGGACAGGAAACTCTTTCGCTCATAACTCCGGACGAACGACAGCCGTGCATTATATCCGGGCGCACGAACGCGTCCAATAATTTTTGACGTCGCCGCAAATAACGCGGGGTTGTGCGATTCGCGAACGAGAGACAAAACGAGGAAGAGAGAGAGAGAGAGAGAGAGTGTGTGCGCGAATTGGCTGACCGGCTCGAGCGTATATCGAACGCGCGACGAAAACACGATTCAGTCGGCGCCAGGAACTTTCGGTCGGCGCGGTCAGGGAACGGGTTGTTATTCGACATTTCGCCCGCGAAAAAAGACGCCAACGGTTAGGGCAGGCTGAACGAGCGAGTTGCTGTTTTGTCGTCGGGGTTGAGGAAAACAGGACGACGTATTGCGAGCCGCGGCCGGGCGCCAGGTTGCTGCGGATCTTCTTGGCCGAAATCCCTCGATTTCGGCTGAAGTTTTCGAAAAACAGTCGCAAAGTCGCGGCGAATGCGGGAGACGCGCTGGGTATCGTGCCGACGACGATGACGACGAATTACGCAATCCTGTCGCACGAAATAACAGCGATCGTCCACTCGCTCGATGAGATATTGTCGAAAACAACGAGAGAGCGAGCGAGTGAAAGAGGATGAATGCGAGAGGGAGCGTGTGAGTAAAAGAGAGAAAGAGAGAGAGAGAGAGGGGGAGGAAGAAAGAGAGAGTGAGAGAGACGGTAATTCTCGCAATTCCTGCTCGCGAATCCAATTTCCGGGGGCGGCCAGCCGGAAGTGTCGAGAGATCGAGGCAAAAACTCGTTCTCGTCGTCGCGCTCGAGACCAGTGATTAGCTTTTTATCTCGCGATTGGGCAAACCGCAGTTACGTCTGATTCAGCATCCCGCTAAGGTCGACCCTGCCGCACTTTTTCTCCCTTCGCCACCCCCCGCGCGCACCACTAGCAGCACATCACCACCGCCGGTGCACCTACTCTCGGCTTTTCTTTCCGCCCACGTAAACCGACCTTGTTAAACGGCCGCGCACCGCGAAACCGCAGACTCGAGGTGGACTTGTTTACACTGCGGCTCAGGTGAAACGCCTAACGATTTACCTGAGCCGCTTAACCCTGACAGTGACGAAGAACAACGAGAAAGCGAGCGCGCGCGTCTCTCCTCTCGTTATTGCACCGTTGTCACTAAGCTCTATTTACAGTCACGGCGCGATGGTAACGCAAGAAAAATATTTACGATATTAGAAAACGTGAAGTGGAATACGCGCGAGAAAGTGGCCCGGTTTTAACGCGTCAATGTCCATAAAGTTTTGCCAACAGAAGCCAACAGAAGCTCACAAAAGCAAACACTGCGTCACATTCGAAATATTACTTCGTTGATTGATAGCGAGGAATTTTCGAATTTATTGATAGCGAGGAACATTAAACGAAATTTACTATTTTATTAACAAAAGCTTTCGTCAACAATGATTACTTTTTGAGCTACTTTTCGAGCTGCTTCTATATCAGAAAGTATCTCGCGTTAATGTATTTTGCGTGCCTACGTCTTTTACTTTTAAATAATCTGAGGATGGAGTAATTATGAATGATCGACCGTTGGGTATTCCTGCTTTGCTTTATCGTCGCTTGCTCGGCTTCCTCGACTTCTCTTTACATACACACCGTTATTACTATTGAGATGTAGACGAGCGAAGTATAAGAGCCTCAATACTCGTCGCGTCGTTCTCTTTGAAAACGTCAAGCACCCCGTAAATAACTAAAAGGCAGGAACATCCGTTTCCAATTACGGTATACAAGCACACGAATTGCGTATATATCAGTCGCTGATTAAAACTTAGTCGCCGCTCGACAGGCCCCTCAATTAAACCGACGAAAAGACTTGGAAATATTTCACGAATAGGCTATTCAATACCCCGACTTCTTCTCCTTCCCCTTCTTTCTCTTACCGGAAAAGGAAGCGCGGCTTCCTCCTAAGCCGTTGCAACCGAACGAACGAACTAATTATCGGACCAAAGTTAAACAAGCCGAACATCTTAACCCTACCGCGAACTTGCTGCAATTATCAAAGTTTTGTACACAGGCTTCTTAATGCTCCCCCCCTCCCGCTCCGTTGTTCATGTTTGATTACATTGTACATGGGAACATCCCGTCTGCACAACGAACGCGACGAGCATTTCTTTTCTAATGTGAACGACTGATGCAAAACCGCGACCACCGCAAAAATCGCGTATATTTTTGCCGAAGTATATACGTTGGGAGAAAAAATATTTAAGAAACAGAAATATTTATTCGGTAGGTATTAATAACGTGTGTTTACTTATACCAATATGAAATATTTTTTTAAGTAGGAAAATATGCATTTATGTATTTATGTGTCTGACAAATATTGACCCGCCCGTCGTGTGCAGATATAGAGAAGATTGAATACATCATCTCTTTACGATTTCACAAACAACTACGTGAAACTTTCAGTTATTAACTAAAATCGGTGTATTATTGCGCATAATCATGCACTAATCTTCTTTAATTGATAACTAAAAATCTACGTCATTTGCAAAATAGTAGAAGGATTTTGTGTTCAGTCAGGGGAGTTTTACTTGCACGCAACAGAAATGTGTCAATTATTGTCAGATATTCTATATAAAGGACACATTTTTTTGAAACCTCAGCTCAGAAAAGCAATTGTTGATCAAACACACAAGAGAATCTGAATTCAAATAAA